AAAATAGTCCTATAAATGAATATTCAACACATGAACAACTAATCATAACAATCACTTAGTCCAACTAAGCTCACATTAGCATTTAATCAAAGAAATCCCATTTCCAAAATACCACGTACGTTTTTCAAAGCTTAACTCGAGCAGCGCTTTTGAAATCAACATAACTTTCAGTACAAAACTCGGATGAACATGATTTAAGTTGCACTGGAAATCTAATACATGCATCTACAATTCTTATGAAGATACCAAAAGCAAATGAGGTCGTGTACTAGGAATTAAATCATCAAACATTCAAAACTGAGTTGCAGTCAAAAAAATCGAGAACTTGTAACCGACCAGATTTCAGTATTTACTGGATAACTGGAGCTACAGACATGTTTTTAATGAGATTCAAAAACCATGTGATAGCTAACTTAAATTTCTACAACTTTTCTGAAGACCACTTTTGCAAATAATCACTTTATAAATGCGTTTGGACACAAAACATTCGGTTCAAAAAGTCTGCCCGAGACTAAAGTATGATATAAACAACACCTCAGTATTTATCCTCTAAATCGTGCTACAGACCTCTAAATTACATGATTCTAGTATGCTTAGAAGCTAAGAAATAGCCCTACAACTTTCATTTAGAACACAAAAGCAGATAAGGTCTTTAAGATGGTGTAAAATCTACTAACATTTAAAATCAGTTTTCTGCCAAGGTGTAAAACCCTACTTCATGTATATCTACAATCATATGAACACAACTCGAGCTATAGATATCACCTCAGCATGAATCCTATCTCATTAGAAAGCTAATCAACAGAACTATAACTTTTATGAAGACTACAAATTCACTAGATCACATTATGACACCATAAACAGGCCAAACATTATATAAACTCATGCTGCCGGCTCAAAAAAAACTGCTTGCGCACTCGTTTTATAAAAATCATAACTCACTCGATATAACTCAGATTCATGAAATTTCAAGGCTAAAGAAAGCTAACAAGACGAACTATATTTCACATGAAGAACATATTTTCAGAAAACAATTTCTTGAAGTCATAACAGAGGAACCTTACCTCCTTCAAGAAAACAAAAATGTGGAGAAATGAAAGAGGTGTTGCTCGGTTCTTCTACTTCTCTCCCTATCTTGCTTGAAATCCGATTTTCTCTCTATTTGCTCAAGTTATTCAGGTTTTTAATGGTCTAATACAGCTAAGGAATGAAACACAAGAACATGATAAGAGGGGACATAAGATCTAAATCTCATCTAAACCTAAAACTAATATTTTACCAACACATGATGCAAAAAGAGGGTAACATGGTTCTCTAACTCATGCATGAGTATGGATTCAGTTTTGGTACTTAAAATAGCTGAACAAAACTTATTAATTTTGGTTTTTATGCCTACTAAAAGGATTGAGAAGAAAATAAATTTTACGGAACCGAAATCGGACTTAAAATCCGACAATAATTGAAAACCGAAGAATTTGACTACAATCAATTTTTTTCCTCTTCTAATTCGGTTTTTATGGATAAAAATACTATTAAAGAGATGGTAATGTAATAGTCTTAAGGTCTTGTTGATTCGTTTTGATGTTCGGGTCACAACGGTCTAAAACGAATTCAAACGAACAACAATTCGGCTTACGCGATTAAACCGAAAATTCAAACGACGATTGATAAAATAAAATCGACCGAGCTATATATAAAATTATAGTATCCATATAATAATAAAAATATATAATCACATAATCAAGGTATATATAAATATTAAAATAAAACCATTAATTAAAATAAACTCATAAAAAATCTAATATTCAAACGGGGCGCTACAATCTACCCACCTTAAAAGGAATTCCGCCCTCGGAGTTCGAAAATAAAGTAACTAGAGGGCACTAAAAATATACCAAGGGGAACTCAAAACATAAAGTTCGGATAACGCCTCCTAATATCGTCCTCCTTCTCCCAAGTCGCCTCGGATTCGTCGTGTCGACTCCACCGCACCTTCACTAAACTCACTGCCCGGTTCCTCAGCTGATGGACCTTCCGGTCCAAAATGGCTGCCGGTACCTCCTCATAGGTAAGGTCTCGCTCGACCTGCAGCTCGCCGAAGTCCACCACATGATCAGGATTATGCACATACCTCCGAAGCATCGAGACATGGAACACGTTGTGCACGCCCGACAAGTCTGGTGGTAAAGCCAGCCGATACGCCAAGTTCCCGACTCGATCGAGGATCTCAAACGACCCGATATAGCGAGGTCTAAGTTTCCCCTTCTTCCCGAAGCGAATCACACCTCTCATGGGTGAAACCTTCAAGAAGACATGATCTCCCACTGCATAAACATGCTCTTGCCTCTTCCGGTCGGTATACACCTTCTGCCTCTACTGGGCAGACCTGATGGTCTTCCGAATCTCTTCAATTGTCGCCGCAGTACTCTGGACAAACTCCGGACCCATAGTCCTCCTCTCTCCAACCTCATCCCAATACAAAGGAGTCCGGACCTTACGTCCGTACAAAGCCTCGTACGGGGCTATCTTGATCAAAGAGTGGTAACTGTTATTGTAGGTCAGCTCGACTAGCGGAAGGGCATACTCCCAAGTCAGGCTCCGGTCCAAGACCACAGCCCTCAATATATCCTCTAAGTACTGGATCGTACGCTCCGACTGACCATCTGTCTTGGGGTGAAAGGCTGTACTGAACTCCAATCTCGTCCCCATGGCTCGGTGCAATGTCCTCCAGAAATGGCATGTGAACTTAGGATCTCGACCAGAAACAATCTCCACGGGTACCCCCATGAAGCTTCACAATGTCCTTGACGAACAATTCGGCATAATCACTCGCCTTCATGGTCGTCCGGACTGGTAGAAAATGGGCAGACTTTGTAAGGCGATCCACTATCACCCAAATCGAATCAAGCCCAGCCCGTGACCTCGGCAGTCCCACCAAGAAATCCATGGTGATGCACTCCCACTTCCACAGGGGAACCTCAAGGGGCTGCAACAACCCTCTAGGTTTCTGGTGCTCAGCCTTCACATGCTGACACACCAGACACCCATCCACGAATTTTGCTACCTGCCTCTTCATGCCTCGCCACCATAAAGACTTCCTCAGGTCCTGATACATCTTCGTGCTATCAGGATGGATGGTGTACAGGGCACTATGGACTTCCCTCAAAATCTCCTTTCGCAGTTCCCACACCTTCGGCACACAAAGTCTACCCTCGAAGACCAAGGCCCCATCAGATGCGACTGCAAATCCACCAACTCTACCGGCTTCCGACAACTCTCTCATTCGGCATAGGAAACGGTCATTCGGCTGCTCGGCGACTATTCTCTCCCGAAGAGTTGGTCCAACAACCAAGGCGGTCAACATACCCCCGGCTGCTGAAGTCGACTTCACTACCTCTAGCTGTAGGTGCCGGAACTCCCGAAGAAGGATATCCTTCTCGGTGAATAAACAAGATAGCTGGCCATAACTCCTCCGACTAAGGGCATCGGCTACCACATTAGCTTTCCCAGGGTGATAGCTAATGGTGCAGTCGTAGTCCTTGACCAGCTCCAACCGCCTACGATGCCTCATGTTCAGCTCCTTCTGAGTGAAAATGTACTTTAGGCTCTTGTGGTCGGTAAAGATCTCACACTTGCCTCCATAGAGGTAGTGCCGCCAAATCTTCAAGGCGTGGACAACTGCAGCTAACTCAAGATCATGAGTGGGGTAGTTCTGCTCGTGAGGCTTCAGCTGCCTCGAAGCATAGGCTACGACCTTCCCCTGTTGCATAAGGACACATCCCAAACCCATCTTCGAAGCATCACTATAGATGGTGAACTCCAAAGTAGGGTCGGGTATGGATAGGACAGGTACAGTAGTGAGTCGCCTCTTCAACTCTTGGAAACTCTCCTCGCACTTAGGACTCCAATCGAACCTCACGGCCTTCTTCATAAGGTTGGTCAGTGGCTGGGCTATCTTCGAGAAGCCCTCGATGAACCTCCGGTAGTATCCTGCTAACCCCAGGAAACTATGAACATCGACGGCACTTCTTGGTGTATCCCACTTGCTCATTGCTTCAATCTTGTCGGGATCCACCTCAATGCCTTTGGCCGTCACAATGTGGCCAAGGAATGCCACACGGTCTTGCCAGAACTCGCACTTCGAGAATTTGGCATACAACTTCTCGCGGCGAAGGGTCTCCAACACAATCCTCAGATGCTCCTTGTGCTGGTCGATGCTCCGAGAATAAACCAGAATGTCGTCGATGAATTAGATAACGAACTAGTCCAGGAACGGATGAAAGACCCTATTCATAAGGTCCATGAAGACAGCTGGGGCATTGCTAAGTCCGAACGGCATTACCACAAACTCATAGTGGCCATAGCGGGTACGGAAAGCAGTCTTAGAAATATCCGACTCCCGGATCTTCAGCTGATGATAGCCCGAACGCAGGTCAGTCTTTGAGAACACGCTGGCTCCCCTCGGCTGGTCGAAAAGGTTCTCAATACGAGGAAGGGGGTACTTGTTCTTGACTGTAAGGGCATTCAGCTCCCGATAGTCAATGCACATGCGCATGGATCCGTCTTTCTTCTTCACGAATAAGACAAGCGCTCCCCACGGCAAAACACTTGGCCGAATGAAACCGAGCTTGAGCAACTCCTGGATCTGGGCCTTGAGCTCTTGGAGCTCCTTCGGCGCCATACGGTAAGGGGCCTTAGACACGGGACCAGCTCCTGGGACTAAGTCAATGGTGAACTCGACTTGGCGGTCGGGTGGTCCTCTAGGCAGCTCATCAGGGAAGACATCGAGATAGTCACAAACAATAGAAACTTGCTCTGGAGTCCGCTCGGAATCATCCTCGGACACCATAGAAACAAGATAGCCTTGACGGCTACCCTTGGAATGGCTCTTCCTAGCTTGCATAGAAGAGATGACTCGAGGCACAGTCCTCGACTTCACCCCATAGAATACTACCGGTTGATCGAAATCGGGAAAGAGTGCAACTTCGCGCTCTTGTCACCGAATGTCGGCTCGATAGCGAGTGAGCCAGTCCATGCCCAAGATCACATCGAAGTCCCGCATTTCAATAACATACACGTCGCCCTCTAGAATTCGTCCACCAATATTAATAGGAAGATTACGGACTATAGAATCAGAAATAATGATCTTTCCCGAGGCTAGGCTGACCTCAAGAGGATCGACTTTGCTCAAATTAACAACAGATAGTGCCTCAAGGCATCGAGAGGAGATAAAAGAATGAATAGCATCGGTATCACACAATGCAAAGACAGGCAAATTGGAGATAGAAAGCATTCCAGACATAGTACCTGCATGGTTCGCTGCCTCATCGTGAGTAATGGTATAGACGCGGGCCTGACCCCCAGCCCTCTGCTGGAATGGTGGG